GTGTGTGTGGTTGGGTGGGGGGGGCGGCTCTTGGGCAGCAGGAAGAGCCTCTAATGGCTGTGGTGTGTGAGAGCTTGGGGTGCTGTGGGGAGGTGGGGGTGAGGCAGGAGGGGAGGCCTGCAGGAATGCTCCCCCAGAATTCTCAGCCCCATGTCATCTTTTCTTGAACCACAGGGTTTTTCAAAACTCTGGACACAGATCTGGATGGAGTCGTGACCTTCGACCTGTTTCAGGTGGGAACCTCCTGGGCCAGGTCGGGGAAGGACCTCGGGGGGCGGTGGAGCCTGTGGCCTCAGAGCCAGCCCTCAAGGCCAGGCCCCCCGAGTCCTGGAAGGATGGGGTGGGGTGTCGGGTCCTGGGAAGGGAGGCCAGGCCCCTGGAGGCCTCTGCAGGAGCCAGCAGCCGGCCTCCCAGGGTGGAGGAGGTAAGGAAGTGGCCCTCCTCTACCCCCCAAGAGGGTCGCTGTCAGGGGGCTGAGAGATGGTGGTGCCTGAGCCATGGGGCTGGGAGGCTGGGCTTGGAGTGGCCCCGCTGACCCGTCTCCTCTCTCCCCTCCCTCCACCGCAGTGGCTACAGCTGACCATGTTTGCATGAGCAGGGGTGAGGCCCCGGGCTGCGTTCCTCTCCCTCGTCATCTGCCAAGCTCTGCCTTCCCACCACGCCGCGCCCGGCCACGCCAGCTGCAAGTGCCTTCCTCGGAGCGGGCAGTGGCCTCTGTCCCCTCACCTCCCAGCCGCCACGGTCCATCTGCTCTGGGCAGAGCTGTGTGGCCCCCCTGCTCCTCGGACCATGGGCTCAGGTGGACGCCCCCAGCCCCTCCCGTCGCCAAGCCAGGAAGGCAGCTTTCGCTTGTTCCTGCCTCGGGGTGGGGCTCCTGGGGGCGCTGACAGCCCTGGCCTCCCAGCATCTTAATGTGTCCTCTGCCCTCACTCCAGAGACCAGCCACCTGGCCTTACCTTCGGACTTTAAACCATAACCACTAGCTCTGCACCGTCTATATCATAGTGTGCAGAGCCCCCTCCCAGCCGGGCCCCCTCCCCAGGGCTGGGAACGCCTGTCCCTTCCTGTGCAGAAGCCAACGCCCCCCTCTGCCCCACGGAGCTGCCTGGCCCAGGGGGTGGTCAGGCCCTCCCTTCTCCCCTCCCTCCCTCCCTCCTTTTTTATATCGGTGAATTTAAAGGGGACTCTGGTACTGGTATACTACTATGGGGGTGCCAGAGGCACCTGGGCCTGGGTGTGTGGGGGCTCGTGTTTCCATGCAGAGAAACCTCAAATAATAAAGGAGAAAGGCCCCGTGTCTGTCTCTGGACTGTGTTCCTGCCCCAGGCTGCCGCCCCGGGACCTGGCAGGTGGCCTGCTGGACCTGCCCACCCTCCTGGCCGCCCTGGAGGCCCGACTTCTGCCTTCCTGGCTCGCTCCGGCCTGTGAGGCTCTGGCTGAAACCAGAACCCCTACTTAGCACAATCCCGACCCCCCAGGAAGCTCCCCAGAGCACAGAGCCTCCTTCAGGTCCTCCTGGGGGGACTGTGACCCAGACACCTGCAGCTTATGTAAGCTGCTCTGGCCGCTCTGGGAGCCTGGCTTTCCTTACAGAGATAAGAGTGGTTGAGGGGAGGGGGTGGTGGGGGTGTAGAGGGAGCCACAAACTAGGACAGTGTGTGCGGGCAAAGGCTGATTGAGCCCAGGGGTGGGGGCTGCCCTCGGCTGCTGGGAGCCCCAGCTGGAGCCCCGAATGGCAGACGGCCTCGACTCTGCCCGCCATGGGCTGGCACAGGGCCGGGAGTTGCCATCCCGGGCCCGCTTCTTCCCTGCGGGTCCCTGGGCCAGGCCTTTGGGGCCTCCATGTCCTCAGTAGGGGGGCTTGGCCCATGGCTTCCTGGGAGCCTGGCTGGTTGTGAGCCAAGTGGGGAGTGGGGGCAGGCGCTCCGAGTTCTCTATATTGGGTTTTGCTTGATGAGAACACCATGGGGCTGGAGGATCTGGGGGCCGAGCCCCTCGCAAAACCCCATTCAAAGGGAAGGGGAAGGAGCATGTACCGCTGGGAGGACCTCCGGCGAGGGCAGCGGGCAGGGCCGCTGGGCCCGCAGAGCTGGGCGATGGTTGTGAGCCAGCCCTCGGGGTGCTCGCCGTTCTAGGGGGTCGGGGGGGAGAGATTGAAGAATCCGGGAGGAAGGGTCTGGAGGGGGCAGCCCTGCAGACATGGGGACACCTGAGGCTGCCTGGGAGGTGTAACCGGACCCTCCGAGCTGTGGGCACAGGGCATCTGTGGTCCTGACCCCGGGCCTGTTCTTCCACCTCCCAGGGTGCGTCCCAGCGCCTGTACATAAGGCCCTGCCGCCGGGCTCGGTCAGGCCTGAGGCATGGCCTTCACCGACCTGCTGGACGCCCTGGGCGGCGTGGGCCGCTTCCAGCTTGTCTACACGGGCCTGCTGCTGCTGCCCTGCAGCCTGCTCGCCTGCCACAACTTCCTGCAGAACTTCACGGCCGCCGTGCCCCGCCACCACTGCCGCGGCCCCGCCGGGCCCCCTGCGGCCGCCGCCAACAGCTCGGAGGCCTGGCTGCGGGCCACCGTCCCCTGGGACCGGCTTGGGGCCCCCGAGCCCTGCCGGCGCTTCACGGAGCCTCAGTGGGCCCTCCTGAGCCCCAACGCCTCGGCCCCCGGGGCCGCCACCGAGAGCTGCCGGGACGGCTGGGTCTACGACCGCAGTGTCTTCCCCGCCACCATCGTGACGGAGGTGCCCGGGCGGGCGCAGGGCAGGCGGGCGGGCGGCGTGGGGAGCTGCTGCCGAGGCCCCGGCTGAGGCGTCCCCTGTCCCCCGCAGTGGGACCTGGTGTGTGAGGCCCGCAGCCTCCGCGACCTGGCTCAGTCCGTCTACATGGCCGGGGTGCTGGTGGGCGCCGCCGTGTTCGGCAGCCTCGCGGACAGGTGAGGCTTCGGGGACCAGGGCCCCGGCCCCCCAGCACAGGCCGGACCCTCCCCCTCGCCTCCTGGTTCATTTTTCCTTATGAATGTTCATTCGTGTGTGTGTGCGTGTAGATTGATCATGCCTGTAACGCATCCACATTCCTCCCCATTCCAGAAGGCATGAGGGTGCGTGTAGGGAAGCGGCCCTCGCCCACGGCCACCCCACCTCCAGCACCTTCCGGGGCCGCCCTGTCTAGGCACCTCCCCGGACACTTCATGCAGCCCGAGCAGATGCGGGTGCCTGTGCTTGTCCGCCTTCCTGCACCAATGCGGGCGCGGCCATGGGCTCCGCCGGCCTTTTCCACCCCGAAAGGCCCCTGCGTGTTCCTTCAGAAAGTGCTTCCCCTCCTCCCTCTGCCCGAGTGCGGCCCACTCGGGGAGGAGGCAGAACTGACTGTGCAGCCCCAACTGTCCACTGCGGCCCCTCTAGGTCTGTGGTCGGCAAACTGCAGCTCGCGAGCCACATGGGCTCTTTGGCCCCTTGAGTGTGGCCACGAAGTTTCAATCGCACTGTACGTGCGCGCCCACACGTGGTATTTTGTGGAAAGAGCCACACTCAAGGGGCCGCAGTTTTGCCGACCCACTGCTCTAGGGAGACAGCAGGAAAACGCAGCCCATGGCGGGGGCCCTGCCCAGTCAGCTCCCCACGCCCTCCCTTCTTCTGGGCCCCCTTTCTCCTTCCCTTCCCTGTCTCTTCCCTCCCCCCCCCTCTGTCTCTTCCTCCCCTCCCTCTCCCCCTTTCCTCTCCTCTCCTCTCCTTTCCTCTCTTCTCCTCCCCGCTGCCTCTCACCCTTGCCAGTTCAGGTTCTGGGGGGGCCTCCTGGACTCCAGACCCCACCCTCCGGAGGGCGCTGCAGGCCACAGGCCCGCGGTGGGAGCTCTGACACTGTGACACCACACAGCCTGGTCTTTCTGGATATGAGTTTGTGTATCTTATCCGTAGTGTCTTATCTGTCACCAGCCCCAGCTGAGGCCTGTCACTTAGAGGTGGGGGATGAACTTTTTTGCAACACAATGAATGAGTGAGCGAGTATGTCATGGGGTGTGTGTGGAGAGGAATATGCAGCCACCCCTGCTTGGCCTGCTGCCCTCCTGGACCCTCACAAATGGGGGTGCGATGACCCTGCTCCCCTGGCCTTGGACCCCTCTGTGGTGTGACAAGCCCCGCCCAGCATGGCCTCCCCAGTGTGATCAGTTTAAAGGAAGACTTGACCCTGGGGCCCCGCTCCCCCTGCCGAGGCCCCACCAAGAGCTCACCACCACCCACTGCTCCTGCCTCTGGGCCTTTGCAGAATCCCCAGCCCTGGCATTAGCTGGCTTGGTAGTGGGGCCAGAAATACTCCTCAAGTGAAGGAATGAAGGAGGGAGCACACTCTTCATTGTTAATTTTCTCCACCCTGTGCTGCTCCCTCCCGGGCTGGCCTCCACCACCAGTGCCTGGGCCCAGGACGAGGGTTGTGATCTGGGGGGGCAGCTTCGGGTGGCAGGGGGGCGGGAGAGCTTCGTTCACCCTCCTTCAACAATCTCTGCGGGGAACCCTAACGCCGTGCCATGGCCCGGCTCAGGCTGGGCCGCAAGGGCCCCCTGGTCTGGTCGTACCTGCAGCTGGCAGTGTCGGGGGCCGCCACCGCGTACTTCAGCTCCTTCAGTGCCTACTGCGTCTTCCGGTTCCTGATGGGCATGACCTTCTCTGGCATCATCCTCAACTCCCTCTCTCTGGGTGAGTCCAGCCGAGGAGGGGCGGCAGGGGGGGGGGGGCGCTCGTGGAAGGTGGCACGGCAGCCCCATCGTCAGACATCTTACCTGTGTCCTCCTGTGGGATTCTCACCCAGTGACCTCCACTCAGAGCCTCCCAGCAGGGCCCTGAGAGGCCTGGGCTCCCAGCAGCAGCCCCGCCGGCCTTGACCGTGGGCCTGGGTTGTGATTTGCCATCAGTGAGTGAGCTGAGAGGGTTGGGTTTATTTCCCGTGTGAATTAGTCAACAATAACCACTTACTAAACACCTACTGTGTGCCAGGCTCTCAGTATGGGGGCACAGAGGTGAGGTGAGACCGTGGCCCCAGGGCTGCAGGCAGCGCTGAGATTATGTGGATCCAAAAAGGCTGGGGTTCACCTGGGCTGCAAAGTGCTGACTCATCATTTATGGTGGCGCCATGATTTCTTTACCAGCCCCCTGGGATGTGCTGGCAAAATGTAGGCTGTTTCCACATTTTACTATTTACAAAAAAAATCATGAAAATAAGAATCATTATATTTCCTTTTCTTTCAACTGTTCATGTCCTTTGCCTGTTTTTCTGTTTGTTTTGGTTGTTTTCTACTGATTTGTGAGAATTTTTCCAATTTTAGGGAAATTCGCCCTTTATCTGTTGAGTTGCAATTTTTTCCTTTGTCATTTTTTTTTTTTTGCTGGTGTTATGACTTTGCTTATGGTGGGTTTTGCTGTTGTTTGTCTTTTTATTTTTTTATTTTATTTTTTAAAAAATATATTTTTATTTATTTCAGAGAGGAAGGGAGAAGGAGAGAGAGATAGAAACATCAATGATGAGAGAGAATCATTGATTGGCTGCCTCCTGCAAGCCCACTACTGGGGATCGAGCCCACAACCTGGGCATGTGCCCTTGGTCTGAATCGAACCTGGGACCTTTCAGTTCGCAGGCCGATGCTCTATCCACTGAGCCAAACCCGCTAGGGCTGTTTGTCTTTTTAATACAGACGCTTCTTATTTTTATGAAGTTGAGTTTACTGATCTTTCCTTTTATTGCTTCTGGGTTTTGTGATATTCTTAGAAAAGCCTTTCCTGACTCTAAGATTGAAAAAACAACCTGTCATGATTTCTTCTACTACGTTTGAGGTTCTGTTGTTTAATTTGGGGCTTTGGTCCACCTGGCATTCCGCCGAGTGCACGAGTGAGGAGGGGCCTTGGCCTGTCTCGGCGGGTCTCTGAGTTCCTCTCGAGTGACCACAGCGGGGCCTCCTGGCGAGCGTGGCCGAGCCTGCGTGTTCTCTCCGCAGTTGTGGAGTGGATGCCCACCCGCGGCCGGACCGTGGCGGGCGTCCTGCTGGGCTTCTCCTTCACCCTGGGGCAGCTCATCCTGGCCGGAGTGGCGTACCTGGCCCGGCCCTGGCGCTGGCTGCAGTTTGCCGTCTCTGTTCCTTTCCTCATCTTTTCCCTCTATTCCTGGTACGTCCTGAGCAGAGTGGGTGGGGTGGGGTGTGGGGGAGGGTGCCCCTGTGTGGCCGACCTGTCCCTCTGGCGGCCTGGGGTGTGCAGTGACTGGGACCTGCTGGGTGTGGTGGTGGGTGATGCGAAGAGGGCGGAGCTGTGGGACCTCGGGCTCCCGAGTATGTGCACGGCTGTGGGGAAGCTCCGGACAAATCCCCGACCTTGGCCTGGGTTCCAGAACAATCTGAGTGCTTTTGCCTTTTCAACTCCTTTGTGTCTCACGACCACCTCCCGGCATTTTGTAGGAGGGGACCTGAGGCACCGCCAAGGGGGGTCCATGACTTACTCAAGGCCAGACACTGGGTCAGACCCAGATTTAAAACCGACCTGTCCCGGCCCCCAGCCCCCAGCAGTCTCTGAGCGGCCTCAGTGCGTCCCTGTGTGATGTGTTGTGAAGTCCTGACGCTGCGGCCGGCAGGGCATTTCACCTCCCTTAAGGCCTGAAAGAAGGTGAATGAAGCCGTGTTTGCGTTTGGGGAAGAGTGAGTCCCACTCAGCCCTGGTCACTCTCCGTCCTCCTCCTGGTGTCAGGTGGCTGCCAGAGTCATCCCGATGGCTCCTCCTCCACGGCAAGTCCCAGCGAGCTGTGCAGAACCTGCGGAAGGTGGCCGCCATGAACGGGAGAAAGGCGGAAGGGGAGAGGCTGACCCAGGAGGTAGGCGGGTGGGCGGGAGGAAGGGCAGGGACAGTTTGCGGTCGCGCTGGTGGCCTCCGGATGTGCTAGGATTTACTTAGTAGCCCCCCTGGACTCACCCACCATCCAGGTGAAGAGGCTGGGAGTAAGCAGAGCGGGAAGAGGCCGTGCAGCAAAGGTGTTAACCATTGAATGGCTGTGCGGCCCGGGATAAAAAACGTCAGCCGCTTTGTCCATCAGACCATCCGACTGTATAATGGGGAGATTGTCATTCACACTGACATCCAGCCAAAATGTAAACAAAGTAACAAAATGAAAATATTAAAATAGCCATCATGAAGTAAAATTATTGAAGAATTGATAATAAAAGTACCATTTATTATAAATAAGTACCATTTATCGAGCCCTATGCTAGGCACTATGTATGCTAAGGCCTTTTTACGTACATGACCTCATTTATTTTTTTTATTTTTTAAAATATATTTTTATTGAGTTCAGAGAGGAAGGGAGAAGGAGAGAGAGAGAGAAACATCAATGATGAGAGAGAATCATTTATCAGCTGCCTCCTGCACACCCCACACTGGGGATCGTGCCTGCAACCCAGGCATGTGCCCTGACTGGGAATGGAACTATGACCTCCTGGTTCATAGGTCAACGCTTAACCACTGAGCCACGCTGGCCAGGCTACGTGACCTCATTTAATGTCTCACTTTTGCTGATGAGGAAAATGAAGTTTGGGTGGGTCAGGTGATTTGCCTAAGAACACACCGCGGGAAGGGGCAGAACCACTCAGACCCCTGCTCTTCACCATTGGCCACGCCTGTCTCACAGTCTCCACCGAGGATGGGGCGTGAGGGCCCCGCTGGAACACAGGTGGCCGCTTCAGCCTAAGCAGCAGGCGGCTCAGGAGCCATGGGACTCGTGGGAGCCTCGGCTTCCTCCCAAATCCCCGGAGACAGCCAGCGGAGGGCCAGCAGCCCCAAGATAGAGAGAGAGCAGGACCAGCCATCCTGCCAGGGCCTTTGACCATGGCCCTCCTCCCCATGGATGAAGGGATACCCAGCAGAGAAACATGGTCTCAGGTCCCTCCAGTCCCCTGATCGCGCTTTCCTGGCCCAGGTGGTGAGCTCCTACATCCAGAGTGAGTTCACGAGCGTCCGCACTTCCACCTCCGTCCTGGACCTCTTCCGAACCCCGGCCATCCGCAAGGTCACGTGCTGTCTCATGGTGGTCTGGTAGGTGATGGGCTCATGCCCAAGACTTTGACCCAAGTTAGAGACATAACTTTTGTCCCCACTGACTATTTTTTTTAAAATATATTTTATTGATTTTTTACAGAGAGGGAGAGAGATAGAAAGTTAGAAACATCGATGAGAGAGAAACATCGATCAGCTGCCTCCTGCACATCTCCCACTGGGGATGTGCCCGCAACCCAGGTACATGCCCCCGATTGGAATCGAACCTGGGACCCTTCAGTCCGCAGGCCGACGCTCTATCCACTGAGCCAAACCGGTTTTGGCCCCACTGACTATTTTTTAAAAATATTTTTTTATTGATTTCAGAGAGAAAGGGAGAGAGAGAGAGAGAGAGAAACATTAATGATGAGAGAGAATCATTGATCGGCCGCCTCCTGCACGATCGGGGATCGAGCCCGCAATGTGGGCATGTGCTCTGACCGGGAAACGAACCATGACTTCCTGGTTTATAGGTTGACACTCAACCACTGAGCCACGCCGGCCGGGCCACTGACTAACTCTTAAATATGCTTAATGCAATGAGCAGGTGAGCCTTGTGAATCCGATCCTGCTCTACACCCTTCCTCCGGGGTCCTTTGGCCTCCGCTGGTGCTGCATATGGCCATGGATGAGATATCCATGCTGACCGAGGGACCCCACATCTGTCCCTGGAGAGCCCCAGGGCAGAGCAGAATGAGACATGGTGCCCAGATGCCTCCAATAGGTGCCCACCCAGGTGAGACCTGCTGCCCAGATGTGGGGTCCAGAAGGGGACAGACAGGAAAACAGTAATTTCTATGAGGTATGACAAGTGTCCCAATAATAGTTCCCTTAATTAGGGCTGCTGAGGGCTTCACACAGGGGATGGCATTTAGGTGGGTTTGAAAAGACAGTTAATAGCCGGTTTGGCTCAGTGGATAATGTCAGCTTGTTCGATTCTGGTCAAGGGCATGAACCTCCATTGCAGGCTCCTCCCCAGCCAGGGCCGTGGTCAGGGCACATGCAGGAGGCAACCAATCCATGTGTTTCTCTCACATCAATATTTCTCTCTGTCTTTCCCTCTCTCTAAAAATCAATGAAAAAATATCCTCGAGTGAGGATTACATAAATAAATAAATAAATAAATAAATAAATAAATAAATAAAATCAAAGACAGTTAATAGAGTTTACCAGGTGAGCAGGAAGAACTTCCTAACAGGTACATAGATAGGCATAAAGATGTGCAATGGATAAAAATACAAAGGCAACCCCTACCTGTTAGCACAGACTGGACGCTAGCAAATGCCGAGGTAAGGGGCTGATTAAAAAAAAAATTTAAATTTGCCTGACTGGGTGTCCTGGACATAAAGATAATAGGGGTTGATACTGAGGAAGCGTGGGCTGCGGGCCATGCACTACCTGAGCTCTGGAGCAGACCAGGCACTGTCGGTAAGGTCGCCAGCTGGGCTCAGGCCGACCAGCCTTCTGGGCCTCAGTTTCCCACTTGTGCCCTTGCCCCTGAGGTCCTCGTGAGGACGGAGAGTTGACCTGTAAACCCACCTTGGCCCGGGAGATGTTCAGGGGAAGAGTCTGTTCTCGTAGTTGAGGTTGGAGCGGCGCACCCGTGTGCTGGGACCTTCCCAAGCAGCCTGCTCTGCTGCCTCTCCCAGGTTCTCCAACTCCATGGCTTACTACGGCCTGGCCATGGACCTGCAGAAGTTTGGGCTCAGCGTCTACCTGGTCCAGGTCCTGTTCGGGGTCATAGACATCCCGGCCATGCTGGTGGCCACCACCACCATGATTTACGTGGGCCGCCGAGCCACAGTGGCCTCCTTCCTCATCCTGGCTGGGCTCATGGTGATCGCCAACATGTTTGTGCCAGAAGGTGAGCTGCGGGCTTCTGCCATTACCGCCTGGGAGCCTCTGGGGTCTGGGGTCTGGTGGGCAACAAGTACAACAAGGGAACAAGGAAGAGAGAGATCTGGGAAGAAAGTGACTGTCCATCAGCAGGGGTTTTAATGAGCACTCGGTGCCTAGGGTCAGCTCCTGGTTGTAAATGCCCTCAGGGCATTTCCCATCTTATCGGGGATGTTAGATTGATGCATCAAACCAACCAAAGGGCTAGCTGGTGTGTGTCCACCTGGAGCCTGGACAGGCAGCATTTCCAGGGCGGAGAAGTTCAAGTGTGAACCTCAGCCGCTGGCCCTGGGACAGTGGTCTGCAAACCGGCCTGGAGACCTTTGAAAACTCCCAGTGCCCAGGGGCCCCAGGCCAGTGCAGTTAGCCTCAGGAGGGGGACCCAACCCTTAGGATTCAGAAAGCTGTCCAGTGATTCAGCGAGAAGCCAGGGTTGGGTATCCCAGCCCGAGAGCGTGTGCTGAGCCGAGGGCTCGCTGTGACCACCGTGCAGGCTGTCTGACTTCTCTGTGCTTCAGTTCCTCCCTACAAAATGGATCGATTATTACTATTGGCATTTTGACGAATTTCTTCCAATCTTTTTTCCTATTTGTTGATTCTGTATTTGATATAATCAATAATCAAGAAACTATTATATACATATATAAAAAGGATTGTATATGTGTGTATATATTATATATAATGTATCCCTTTTCACATTGTATGTTGTCTAGAAACATGCTTTCCCATGTTATGCTGCAACATAAACACTTTTCCATGTTAGGACAAATGCTTCATGGCCCTAATTTTATATCGCTGTGTAATATCCCATCTAGATTGGTGATTTTCAACCCTGGCTGCCCATCAGACTCTCCTGGGGACCTTTAAAAGAATTACCAACTTGAGCCCAGCCCCAAGAGGCTTTGCAATAACCGAGATGGGTGGGGCCCAGGTGTGGGCATTTGATAAACTATCCCCTCCACTTGCAGTGTGCAGCCGGAGTGGCCACAAAGGATGTGCCACCATTTCCCTGCCCATTGCCCCGCGCTGGGCATGGGCACTGGGGCTGAGCTGTTGGTGAGCAGCAGCAGGATGAGCATGTGAATAACGGTAGCAGCGAGCATGTGATGAGCACTAGCACCTGCACTCACGGCATCCTGTCAACCTCAGGACAAGCCCTCGAAGCAGGCGCTGCGTTTTCCTCATTCTTCAGAGGAGGCTCAGAGAGGTTATGTGATAGTGACCAGGGTCACCCATCTGGGTCAGAGCCGGGATTTGAACCTGAGCCCAGCTCCAAAGCTTGTCCCGGCTCCCCAGCAGGACCTGGTGACCGGTGGAAAGAAGGAGGGGAGGAGGCGGAAGTCAGAGAAGGGCCGTGTGGGGACTCTGGGTCCCAGGTGGGGACGTGAGGTGGTGGAAACCCTGATTCACACCCTCCAGGTTCTGGGCGCCCTGCCCGCCCAGGCTGTGCCCACCCCACGCCCTATGCTTCCCTGTCTCCTCCCCCACAGCACCCCGTCCCATGGCCCTCACCCCCACTCCCACCCCCAACCCCACCCCCACCCCCTCTGCCTCCCTGCTCCCTCTTGGGCTCTGAGCCACCCCTCCCACAGTCTGTCCGCCCTGCAGATATGCAGACCCTGCGCACGGCCCAGGCAGCGCTGGGCAAAGGCTGCCTGGCCAGCTCCTTCATCTGCGTGTACTTGTTCACGGGAGAGCTGTACCCCACGGAGATCAGGTGGGTCTGTAGGGGGAGGCGGAAGAGCACCTGCCCCAAACTGGGAGCCCCCGGCGCTCCTGGCTGACACCTGCTGGGCTTGCCAAGGCAGAGCCCCTCTCCTTTCTGCTCGGTCCACAGCACCCCCGCCCTCTGGGGTCTAGGCCACGGCCACGGACCTGTCCACATTCCTCGCACAGGCAGATGGGGATGGGCTTCGTCTCGGTCAACGCCCGCCTCGGGGGGCTGGCGGCGCCCCTGGTCACCACGGTCGGGGAGTTCAGTGCCATCCTGCCGCCTGTGGCCTTCGGGGCCACCTCGATCCTGGCCGGACTGACCGTCTGCTTCCTGGCTGAGACCCGCAACACACCCCTGGTGGAGACCATTGAGGTGATGGAGAGGAGGTGAGAGGCCTCTGGGTACAGCGGGGTGGGGGCGACCAAACAGGCTGTGGTCCCCAAAACAACTGAGGGCAGAGTGTCCTGTGGCTGCTGCTAAAACGTCACTGCTGAGCGAGAGCTGGGTGTCACCATGCCCAGCTCCTCCATCGGTGGAGGCTTAGCTTTCACAAGAACAGACCCAACGGCGAATGGTGCCATAGAAAGAAGAATCCGCTGTAGCCTGGCCCGTGTGGCTCAGTGGTTGAGCGTCAACCTATGAACCAAGAGGTCACAGGTTCGATTCCCAGTCAGGGCACAAGCCCAGGTTGCAGGCTTGATCACCAGTTGGGGGCGTGCAGGAGGCAGCGATTGATGTTTCTCTGTCATCGATGTTTCTATTTCTCTACCCCTTTCCCTTCCTCTTCCTAAAATCAATAAAGAAAAAAGAAATATGTCTGGGCTGGTTGCCTCTCCACCTGGGGCAACGTAGGAAGGGCCTGGCATGCCCAGCGCCCAGGTCTCTGCTGTGCCCTGGTCCACGCTGAGTCCGGCCCAGCGGGGTGGCCTTGGTTGACTGTCTGGCGTTGGGTCCTCTTTGGAAAACTCTTTGACCAGCAGCTTTTCCAAGTCTGGCTCTTACTAACCAGGCCAGCCTCTGCCACCGTGAGACCTCGTAGTGGAGCCAGGACGGGGCAGAAGGGACAGTGGAGACACGTCTCGTGCGTGACAAACACCCTCGATCGTCACACACACATGCTCTGCCCCTCTCCACCTCCCTTCCACTTGCATCAGTGTTCCGTTTGCCTTCTCATTCCGCAGAGCCAAAGGCCTCTCCAGGAAGGATGCAGAGGGGAGGAGCGAAGACATTTCCCTCCAGCAGCTGGGAGCTTCTCCCCTCCTAGAAACCATCTGAGGTGCCCAGGGCCCGGCACATGCTGGCCGTACCTCAGCCAGTATCCGGCTTCCTGGTGCTGACCGGGGTCGGGGTTGGCCAAGGACCATGGTGGCTCCATCAGCCCATGTCAAAGAGCCACCCAAAGCCAGTGCTGGGGCTGCCGGCAGAAACCAGACCAGCAGCCATTGGCATCACAAATGGATAGAAATTGAGGAGAAGCCATGCCCAGGGACTGAAGGAGGGGCCGTTTTCCTTCCCACCTCCAACTCTGCCCCTTAAAACCTCTCTTCTCATTCTTGTTCCACCTGAAAGCGCTGGGTCCTTGCAGGGTTAGGGTGACATTTCGGCCCCTGGTTGTCCCTGAAACAGCCCCGCCCACTTGTCCTTGAAAACTCACTGTGCTCCATTCTTGACACATTACTCTCTCCTGCCTTGAGGATTAAAGCTCTCTCCCCTGTGTGTGTGGCTTACCTCCTCGAGGGCACATGTCTCCATGCCAGAGCCTGCTTGCCCCTCGCAGTGGGCCTCGCAGATGGTACACGCTCAATAAATAGTTGATGAATAAATGATGAAGCCAGTCCCGGGTGATGGAGAGACCTCTACCCATTGTTGCATTCTAGCAATATCACTTTGCAGAAGACACACAGAGGGTGAATCCCTGGCATAGCATAGCTTCCCTCTGACCTCAGATCATTTCCAGCCCAGATGTTCGATGTATACCTGCATTCCTGACCCTGACCTTCACCAGAATTCAGATTAGATTCATAAGGGATTCAAATCCTGGCCCATTGGGTAGCCTTGGCAAGTTTCCTTGTCTAACCCCTTCCTCCTAGAGTTTCCAGGGAATCAAACAAGATAAACAGTCCCCTACAGTCTGAGGAAAAGCACAATCTAGGAAAGAAGTAGGAATATCACAGTTCGGGCAAAAAACACCGCAACCTGCCATTTCGCCAAGATTAGTCTTTCAGCAGCCTCGCCCTTGGAGCAGAGCTGGAGCGAAACTCCGCCGGACGCTGTCCCAAGGCCCTGGCCTTCATGCACCAATCCCCCAGGCCCTCCCACAGAAGTAACCTCTCTTTCAACAATCCGATACATGAGCTTTCCTACCTGAATTGTTCTCAACTCACAGCCCTCAGCAGATCAGTAAATTTGAAAGGCGGAGGGCTGCTGTGCCTGGTCATACTTTAAGATTCACTTTGGGAGTCACCTCTTCCAGGAAGCACTCCCTGACAACCCCTGCCTACCTCTGGGCTCCAGTCATGCCCCCTACACATCCTCCCTACTGTGTTGTAATGGATCCATTTACATGCTGATCTCACCCTGGCTCCCTGAAGGCAGAGTTAGGCCATCTTGGCCTGGTTCTGTGGCCTGCACAGAGTAGGTGCTCAGTTCACATTATTGGGGTGAATGAAATAGTCTGGACACTAAAAACAAAAGTGATCTGTCACTGCTGAACGCTGAGGAGGAGGTAGAAAAACTAAATGGAAAATCTGGGTAGAATAACAAGATTTTGTATGTATTTTAAAAACCAATCTGTGGCCAAAACCAGTTTGGCTCAGTGGATAGAGCGTCGGCCTGCGGACTGAAGGGTCCCGGGTTCGATTCTGGTCAAGGGCATGTACCTGGGTTGCGGGCACATCCCCAGTGGGGGATGTGCAGGAGGCGGCTGATCAATGTTTCTCTCTCATCGATGTTTCTAACTCTCTATCTCTCTCCCTTCCTCTCTGTAAAAAATCAATAAAATATATTAAAAAAAAAAAACAACAACAAAAAAAACCAATCTGTGCCCGGCTAGCATAGCTCAGTGGTTGAGCGTCGACCTATGAACCAGGAGGTCACGGTTTGATTCCCGGTCAGGGCACATTGCCTGGGTTGTGGGCTCAATCCCCAGTAGAGAGCATGCAGGGGGCAGTTGATCAATGATTCTCTCTCACCATTGATGTTTCTCTCTTTCTCCCTCTCCCTTTCTCTCTGAAATTAATAAAAATAAACACATAAATAAAAATTAAAAATAAAAGGGCACTTTTTTCAAGTGTCCTCAGTTTGTTTAAAAATATATAAATAAAAACAAATCTATTATAAACACCATTTTCTTTTTTGAAGAAAATTTAAATAGTGATTCTCAATCCTGGAATCAGCTGTGAGCTTTAAAAAAATATCAGTGCCAGGGCCCACTCCCGAGAATTCTGATGTCTTTAGTTGGGTTTGAGAACCACTGTCTAGAAATAGTTTTCCTAACCAGTAAAAGAATTAACACAACTTAGTCCAGTGGATAGAGTTCATTAAAACAATACTATGAAATCCTAGGACAAAGAAAACACATACCTTTACGTGAACAAACCTGATTTTCTATAACAAACATTCTGACAATGAAGTTTCCTACAACAAGCGTAAGTAATCTCGAGGTTACAGGTCACAGTCCCTGGGGTAAAACCACGAAGACTTGACTACTCTTGGTCTTAGCAAAAAACACTAGCCAGCCCCGCTGGTGTGGCTCGGAGGTTGAGCGTGACCTATGAACCAGGAGGTCACAGTTTGATTCCCGGTCAGGGCACATTCCTGAGTTGTGGGCTCGATCCCCAGTGCGGAGCATGAAGGAGGCAGCTGATCAATGATTCTCTCTCATCATCGATGTTTCTTTCTCTCTCTCCCTTCCTCTCTGAAATAAATAAAAATATATTAACCCGTTAAGCGCCCAGTCACCGGTGACTGACACTATACTTCCCGTCTGGAAGACAAAACAGGCTGGGCGCTTAACGTGTTAAAAACAAAAAACACTGGCCAGAAACTGTTACGTGAAGACAAGTTCGTGATGATGATGCATAGGCTGCACTGCCTACACAGGATTCCACTTGTCTGACGCTCCTTATCATCATCTTTCTGGCAAATGATCTCCAGACTTCTTTGCCTTTGTATCCGAAGGCACTGACCAGCTGGCGCGTTAGTTTTGTTCAAGAGTGTTTGACAACCATCTTCCAGGCATCTCTACGTTTCTCATTAAGTATCACGGGGCCTTGTGGCTGCAGGGAGATGGCTGCCAGGGCGCCTGGGGCTTCCACTTATCAAAGATTGCCCGGGCCAGGTAAGAGCCGCTAAGGCAGCTGTGGGCAAACTACGGCCCGCTGAAATGAATAAAACTAAAAAAAAAAAAAAGACCGTACCCTTTTATGTAATGATGTTAATATATAAAATAAATATCAAAAATGTAAGTCTTTGTTTTACTATGGTTGCAAATATCAAAAAATTTCTATATGTGACACGGCACCAGAGTTAAGTTAGGGTTTTTCAAAATGCTGACACGCGGAGCTCACAAGGTTCGCCATCACTGCACTAAGGGAACTGGGAAGGCTGATGGTGTCAGGTGCCTCTGCTACCAACTGTGCACGGAACAGTGAACTCTGCTTAACGGGCAGAGGCGGGCTGTGGAGCTCACCTGGAAAGCAGCCCCAGGTGCACCTGCCCACATTTTCACTGACCCATGGGCCGTGTGGCCTGGTGCCTGGTGCCTGGTGGGAGGACTGGAAGACTGCGCGAGGCCCACAAACCCCCATTCGTGATCCACAGGCAACATCAGTGGAATCAACACGCTGATCGGACCTGTGCTGCCAGGCAGCAGGTGCCACCAAAAGATGGACTTAAAGGATAAGCTGCAAAAGACAAGGGCAGTTCTGTGCAAGAAAGGATGACTACACAGAATTTAAAAAAAAAAAAAGAACCACCAAAACCACAGCTTCAATAATGCTACCATTGTTATCGCCGCGGGACAGACTTTCGTCGGCTGGCAGGTCCTGCGCCTGGCCGCTTCTCCCTTCAGCAAGCACGGAAGGGCGGCCCGAGGTCAGTTGTCACAGCCCACACCCAGCCCTACCTGAGCGAGAACCCGGCCACGCCAGGGCGTTTCCTAGCACACCGCTCCCGTCTCCGAGGCAGCATCCGGTCTCAGGACTGGGTGAGGTTTTTTTTTGTGTGTGTTTTTTTTTCTGGGTGAGGTTTTAATAAAGACCCAGGGAGCAGAAACAGAGCAGCTGAGAAGCCCAAGTCAAGCGGAGGGCAGCTGGCCCATGTGGTCCTGGCCCAGGGCTGGCTTCCAGCAAAAGGCCCCTCTGCCATTAGCCAGGAATGACTGTGAACACAGCGGCTTCATGGGTGTGCAACTTGTGCAGCTGCACCGGACCCCACGCTCAGAAGGGCCCCCCATTTGGTTCAATGCCCTGCTGTCATCCTGAAAATCTTAATCATTTTCATTTCGCACTGGTCTCTCCAATTAGGCAGCTGAGGTCTGCATAAAGTGAGTGGGAAGAGCCCAGCCCCAGGTATTTAAGGGGTGAACGCTTGCTTATTCAGAGAAACTGATGACTCATAACAAAGGTTTCTGTGTACTCACTTTGCTTCACCATAATGTTGACAGTTCATTCTCTTCCCAAACTGTTGCCTAACTTGAGGTAAATGGGTAAAAACTAAGACCTGAAACATTCCTTAATGTCCATTTGAAGCAAAAATGTCAATGTTTGGAAGTAAATCCAATCAGCAAACTGGTAATTATACTTTTTCATGCAATACATCAAACGAGATATTTTCTTTATCAGAAAGCCATACCACATACAATACATTTTTGGTGTTTAAAAAGCAACAAAGGGACTTTAAAACATAAGGGATACCTGTGATTTTTTTTGTCTGATTAGGAAAAAAGATATAACTAATAAATGGATTAAATACATTAGTTAAAAGAAAGCAAGCCTGGCTAGTGTGCTCAGTGGTTGAGGATTGATCCCCAGTATGGGTCGTGCAGGAGGCAGCCTATCAATGATGAGGCATCCCTCATCATTGATATTTCTATTCTCTTCCTCTCCCTTCTTCTCTGAAATCAATAATATATATACATACTGTATATATTTATTTAAAAAGAAAAAAAGAAGAAGAAAAGGGACATTATCTGAGTGGACCTGACCCAAAGCACCGGCCTTTTAAAGACAGAGTTCCTCTGGCTGTGGAACAAGCCCCTAGAAAGGAGAGCAGCTTGGCCAATACCTTGACTTCAGCCTTGCTGAGTGGAGAACCCAGACATGCTGTGCTCAGACTGCTGACCCACAGAACTGTGGACTAATAAATGGGTGATGTTTTAAGCACTAAGTTTATGATAAATTATTACATGGCAATAGAAAGCTAATACACCCTTTATTGCCTATACCCAGGTACCGCTCCCACCCTCCGCCCTTGGTCCCCGCCAGGAAGAGATTTTAGGGGAGTGTAAGGGGTTTTCTCTCTCCACAAGGCCTCCCCGACTCTCTACTGTGGTTAATATGCAGACTACAACCAGCTCCACACTGCCCCACTGAGGCCAAGACAGGGTGTCTCACTCTGCCTGGCCCTGGTCTCTCATCTCACGCCCCTAGGTGTCCCCAGGAGTCTGGCTTCTTTGGCACAGTCTTGAGAATCACTGCTTTGGTAAAATCCCATACTTTGCTCAA